GAACAGCACACTCAAAGTGCATTACCCAAAACCATTTTCAAAATATATGATCAGATCTGTGTGGTGAAGTATATCAGACATACCCAGGGCTAATTTTGGGCAGGAACGCACAGGAACAGAGTTCCGGCTGGCTTCAGAGTTGGCCACGCCCACAGCCAAAACCTCTGCGTGCCTGGCTACAGAGGGAAGGCCTGGAGAGCGACACCCCCTTGTCAACTCCGAGGCGGGCAGGCCAGGGAGGCCCTGGAAGGATTGGGGAGGCATTTAAATGTCCAAGGGCCGGCTTGCCCGGGCTCTCCACAGCCGCAGGGTGCCGGGCAAGTTAAGGGAAAGCAGTTTAAACTGCCTTCCCTCCCCTCCCCTCCAAGGGCCGGCTTGCCCGCGCAAGCCAAGGGAAGGCAGTTTAAACAGCCTTCCATTCCCTTCCCTTCAAGGGGACGCTTCCCTGGGCTCCCTGCAGCTGCAGGGCTCAAGGGCAAGCCAAGGGAAGGCATGGGGTGTGGTCTAATATGCTAATGAGTGATGATGTCAGGCGTGTGGCCTAATATGCTGATGAGTTTCTTCTGTTGGGTGTGGCCTTTTATGCTAATGAGTTTCTGTTGGGCTTTTTTTGAAGCCCTGGACATACAAAAACAAAAACCTGTGTGCTTTTTGCAAGGGTACATGTAATGTCATGTCTATGATGAATGGATGGGCATATGCAAAAGCAGCTTAAACTTCTTTTTTGTAAGAATAAGAAAAAACTTTGATCAAAAAGGGAAAAAATAAAAAACTTTGATGATGAGGGTGAAAGGGTTCAACAGTTAGGATGACAAGCATGTCAAAATATTTGCTGAACTTCTTTTTGGGAAGTTAAAGATCTCCTTAGTGAGATACTAACTTTCATGCAAATAAATCAGTAACAGGAAACAGTATGATGTAGACTGCAGTGGCTATTTGTGCTAGTTCCAGTAAGACAACTACCCTATGACACGCACACGTTTTAGGAAAGATGGTTCAGTGGCAGCCATAGGATCTTTAGAGTGGCACATGTGATCACACTCTCTTCCTCATCTCTTTTCTATGCTATCTCTTTCTGTGGAGAACCAGATAAGCCTTCTACAGAGTTGTTTGACTTGTGCATTGTAGCACTGTGAGCTTTGGTTCCAGGAAAAATAATTTGCCTGAAGAAGAATTTCTTGAAACATGCAACTTTTGCCTAGGAGGCATGTTGCTTTGATGCCTGCTCTATCTCTTTTCAGAAAGCAAAACAGCCTACAACATTGGCATTGACGACTGCTGCATCTCTCATCAGTCTCTCATCAGAAAGCAAGATAGTCTACAGCACTGAATCCTGTCTCTGTAGCTGTGGACTTTTCTACAAGGTATATATTGTTCTTTAGGTTTTTGTTATCAATGTACTATAATTAATAAGATACACTAGGGTATTTATTGTATATTTAAGTATATGATTTAAACGAATATATGTAGTAGCATATCAGAACTGTGTGTTTTGTTTTAACATGGTGTTTTTCCATGTTTGCTCAACCTTGCCGTGTTTCCCGTGTGTTTGTTGACCTTCCATGCAGGGCCTGGAGATCTCCCAGGATTATTCTGACCACCAGACTAAAGAGAACTGTTCCCCTGGAGGAAATGGACACTTTCAAAGATGGACGCTATGGCCTCATACCCAGCTGAGGTCTCTCTCCTCCCCAAGCCCAGGATCTACCCCCAAATCTCCAGGGATTTTCCAGCTCAGAGTTGGCAGCCTTAGTTGTTTTATATTGGCAGGTTTACATAATTATATATCCTTATTCTGTATATGTATCTCTCTCTCTCTCTCCCATTTCATAGAAGTAAATATTTGTGAAATGTTGGGGTCTTTAAATTTAAGAAGAGCCAGCCTAGTGTAGTGGTCAGCGCGTCAGACTAGGATCTGGGAAAATCAGGTTTGAATCCCTGTTCCGCCCCACGGAAACTCACTGGGTCACCTTGGGTCGAATGAACACTCTTTTTCATCGTTGTTGTGAGGATCAAGTGGACCACAGGAAAACCAAATCATAAGCTGGTCTGGGTCCGCACTGAGGAGAAAAGCAGACTATAAATAACAAAATAAAATAAAAGAAATCCCGCTTCATAAAATGGAAACACATTGGATTCAGGAAAGAATGGGAGGAGGAGGAGGAGGAGGAGGAGGAGGAGGAGGAGATGAACTAAATATTATTATTGTTCTCGTTGCTCATGAAATAAATCCAGCCACTTAGTGACCTTAGCTAGGGTACTTCCTGGGAACTGATGACTGATGGGTGTTAATGGCCCTCAGCTGCACCTCAGGCCATCAGCTCCTCCCAGATGGTCATTAATCCACAGGAAATGTCTCAGGTATCGATCCTTATTGCTTAATTAATAAATGCAATGTGTCTTAGGGGCTTAGATTTAGAGATGGCCCTTTCCTTTTTCTGCGGCTTTGAAGGTGACATTTTTACCCCTAGCCTTCCTCAGAGCATTTCTGTTGGAAGACCGTGGCTCATTTTGGTACTCAGAATTCCTCTGTGTGGAGTTACAGCAACAGAACATTTCCGACTCCATAGGGAAAAGAGAGCGAGGGATAGCAGGCCATTAGCTTTCTTGTGTTTCCCTAGTGGAGAGAATGCTTGAGGGTTCCGGCCCTTTCCAAGTGGCATGTAGATTTCAGCAGGTGCCACTTCTAATGCAGGAGTGAGAAAAGCCATACGTTTCAAATTCTCTCCTCCCCGCAATCTAAAAAAAATTTGTCTGTGTGTCATTATGCCCACATGTTGGCTTGCTCTGTGTTCCAGGCAGTTTCTTCTGAAATGCTCCTAAGTGAATTTTAATTTTTAAATGTTGGGGATGGATTGGGAATTGCACCTAAATAGTTCTTCCATAACTATTTTCCATAATGGTTTGGTCTCTTTAGAACCATGGATGTTAAATATTAATCTTACTTAGAATGCAGCAGCTTGCAGGTGATACCAGGCCTTCCAGCATGTGCAGATGGGTTGCTAGTTTTTCCTCTGGCTATTATTTATTTTGACTTCACTGTTGACTTCGCCATAAATCCGGAGCTAAACTGACTTGTACTTTTTTTAAAAACAGAAGGAGGAGAGGAGAAACAGTTCATTCCCCAAAAGCCTGCTGCTCAAACATGACTTGTCTGACCATTATAAAATCTGCTCAGTACTCTTACTACAGAGTCCTGGCCTTCTAAACATAACCTATATACTATAAATTCCTGAGAGCATCAGTGTGTGCAGCTGGTGAGTGGTGGGGCAGAGATGTGGAATAGATCAGTTAATTGATCCTGCCTACTATATAATAATAACGCAATAACGTGTGACCAAATTAACTTCTACAATGACTTGTGGCAAAAATGTTTTTAAACATAAATTTGGATTCATAAAGTCAGTCACCTGGCAACTGAAGAACAATAAATGTACTGTAGTTACAGTGTGAAATGTACTGGGTTCAGACGCGTAGAGTGATTAGCTCATGTTTATTAAGTGGTTTCAGCTCAAAACTAAGACAAACTTGCAGGGTCAGAGCCCTGCTTATATTCATGAAACACCCCATACCCAACACACACCCCACATCCCACGATAGGCTGTTTACAGAGTATTGTTTACCAATTGGCTACTGGTAGGATCCGGATCAATCTATTGGTTCATTCTAGGATCCGAACCCTCTATTGTGATGCACTCCAAGCTACGCTATTCTGCATGTTCGCTAGCGAGCCCTTTCGCAAGTATGGTTCCATCATGATACATAACACAATGCAATCCTGTACAGAGTTATTCCAAGTCTACTCATTGAAATCAGTGGGTTTAGACTGGAGAAACTCTGCACAGGATTGCAGCGTTACATTCCTCCCATCCTTCTCCACTCTTGTCTTCCTTTTTAGATGGTAAAAACACACTTTGTGTGAGCGTACCAGCTATGCGTAACAGGAACATTTGACAGGTACAGTTGCCCTGCTGTGTGAATAGCAGCAACTGAGGAATAGCTTTAGTATCCATTGTCCCTGTTCCGATAACTTGGCAACCACATGTACTGGGAGGATTGCAAGTAGTGTGTACTCCTGTTTCCACACAGTTGGTAGGTGGGCTCCCAGTACACATGATTGCAATGTCTGAAAAAGTCTTCTCTGAACTCAAAATCTTGTGCTATGAGACTAGAAACATGTCGTGCTAGCCTAGAGTTGCCAACTTTGTACAGGTTCTATGACAGCCCCCTGCCATGTAGAAATTAAGCAAATGGATGTTTTGCTTTAGTTATAAACTAGGAAACATTTCACCTGACTGTCGTGCTCGGTTTCTACATGTCACACTGCTGTTGAAGTAAAATTGGTGTCAACCTTCAAATCCATTCTTGGAGGTGAAATCTTGGGAATGTGGCCTTCTGTACCCAGTGCTCATTACAAGCATCCTGGTAACCAACCCCAGAAAAGGGTCATGATATAGACTGTCTGACAATCATGTATGTCATGAATAGCACCAGCATCATTAATATGGTTTAATTCCTCAACCTCTACAAATAAATTCCACACTCCTCTTTCTTTTGTCAACAACTGGATTCGTGCAGCAGGTTGCATATTTTAATTCAAGCTAATTCCCCAGATACATTTCCATAAAAAATCTGAAATTTCTGTTTTGGTTGCCTATCTTGCATGGTGAACTAAATTATTTTCATGAGCCCTTCAGGGCAGATTGTCAGCACAGGCTTACTGCGGTTATGCACCATATCCCTACCATTAATATTGCTTCCAAATATAGTGTATTGACAAGGTACCTGGTACAGTGTAAATCCTAGGGACATTTGATCCAGATCGTTAAAACCGAGTGAAGGAAGCAAAGAACAGATCAGGTTACTAATTCAAACAAGCAATGAATTATTCATTCCATTATTAATTCGACAGGCCTCCAGCTATTTTTCCCCTCTCCAATAGTCTGCATTGAGAATACTTTTGCTATTTTCTGGCACTTGGTCCATTTGTCTCTTCATAGCTGTGTCAAAGGATGCAGTGGATGCTTCTCAAACATCTTGTCATTATAACTTTCTTGTCCGCAATGAATGGGATAAATGCCAATAAAGGTAAGGTGTGGCTGGGGGGGGCTGTGTTCTGGGTCGTTTCACAAGATTGTGCTTAATTTAAAAATGGAATCTTCTTACTTTGTATTCTGTGCCCGTCTTTAGATCATAGGAGTGCACTATAATGCTTCTTTCACAGATTTCAGTGGTCTGCTGCTCAGTATTTACACTCTACACATCTTTAAAGCCAGGGCTTACAAATGTATTGTAAATATATGTGCCCCAACCCATGCAGTCATGTGGAATCAGTTTTGCACGTAGAACCTTTCAACATGTAAACTTGCCCAATTAAATCAGTGAAGGGAATGGATCCAAGGGTGATGAGGAAATGTACACACTGACAAGTGTCCTACATTGGAATGAACAAAGAAGCTCTGTATACACACTTGAACGCTCATATACATAAGAATTTCTAGGTTCAGGGTGGTCAATCGCAAGCCTCACGCCACATCCTCTAACCTCGAGCATTCTTAATAAGGATAGCAGTCTGCATCCAAAGAACAATGAGCAGAGCTCCGCTCATGGAATGGACCCGTCCTGCTTCCTCCTGTCTTCTGCAGCCACCTGTTGTCACCAATCCTGGCCCCCGTTCCTTATTGCTGTGAGTCCATCAGGGACAGCATAGTCTGTGGTACAGGGGGCTGTAACTTCAGTAGGAAAATGGCAGCTCCCTCCCTGTGCCAGTGGAAGGAAGCACCTTCCATTCACAGAAGGGCACCTCAGGTCCAGCTCAGAGAGTACTAAGAGTGAGGCCAAAGATTCACTGATTTCAGTAGGTACTGAACTCTTGCTGATTTTAGTAGGAGTATGGATATAGGGAAGCAACTAAAAGCTTTTAGAACTGTCTGTAACAGCATATTATGTTGGTGTAGCATTTTCATGGTGGAGGGGGGTTATTTGGAGGGTTTAATTCTGTATTTTGCATTTGAGATTGTAACCTCGTTTGAGCCATAGGTGAAGGCAGGATATAAATATTTATATAAACGAATGAACAATGTGTCGCAACTGACTCATGTCAGCTCTATCTGCAGGGTGTCCAAGGCGCGAGAATAGCAGAGATTATTTGCCCTTGCCTTCCTCTGCCTAGCAATCCCAGTCTTCCTTGGTGGTCTCCCATCCAAGATCTATCCATGGCCAACTGTGCATAGCTTGCGAGCTCTGATGAGTTTGGGCTAAGCTGGGCTATTCAGCTGGGCTATACTGCTATTTAAAACAATTCATAAAATATAATTTCTACCATGTAATAAAGATTTTGATTTGTTGCTGTAGACATTTAAACATGCTGTGGACCACTCGTAAGCCAGGTGAGGGTGCTGCAAAACTGAGAGCCAAGCTGCACATTATGATTTCTAATGTTCTGTGTCTGAGTTCCCCTGTCCCGGCTTTAACTCACATAGTCACAGCAGCAAGGGAACTTGCTTCCCAAGTGTACAGAGCCCTGATTTGGATCATGACTGCAGCACAGAGGGAGGAGGAGCTTCAGTCTTCTCCTTGTGCCATTTTCCCATCTCCCAAACAGCTACAGCCCCTCCATTAGGGAGCTACACATGCAGCCCACCAATGGGGAAAAATAGTCTGATTTAGTCATCATGGCCAACAGCTGCTAATACATCTTTCCTCCTAGTCCTCTTTTGAAGGTATATAGTGTTCAACCCTATATCCTGGGAAGGTGAATTTCGCATTGGTTATTTATTGTGTAAAGAAGTGCTTCAATCAGGTGCTCATAAAACTAGTTGACTACTCTGTCTTCTGCCCTGACCTAGACAACCTGGGATAGCCCAGTCTTGTCATATCTAAGAAGCTAAGCAGGGTTAACCACGGTTAGTACTTGGCTGGGAGACCACCAAGGAAGCCTAGGGCCGCTATGGAGAGACAATAACAAACCACCCCTGTTCATCTCTTGCCTTCAGAAACCCTACTGGGTCACCATAAATAAACTGTAACTCGATGGCTCTTTCCACCACCACTCTGCCTTCTGGACTGACAAAGTAATCTAGGTTACTTTTCCAATGTTTTCACTTTCTACAGGCATTAAATGTGGTGGTGTTCTCTCCACACCACACGGCAATATCTCAAGCCCAAATTTCCCTGGATTCTACCCATATGACACAGACTGCATGTGGCTCATAGTGGTAACAGAAGGATCCTCTGTTCTGCTGACCTTCCATCACTTTGATCTGGAATACCATGACAGCTGTGAATATGACTACCTCAAGGTCTACAATGGGGTCTCAGAAGACCAAGGAAACCTCCTAGGCAAATTCTGTGGCACAAGTGTTCCTCCGCCATTTACATCATCCTGGAATGTCATGACAATAATCTTTCACTCAGATAAGCATGTGGCCAGCCAAGGATTTTCTGCTGTCTACCAAAAAGGTTAGAATTGTCACCAACATAAGTTTTTCCAAAATGTTGCTGTGTCACGCAATGGTAGATCCAATGGTACCTGAAGGTCTTGGGGCCTTGAGGAGAGGGATAAAGAATCAGGGCTTTAGAGGAAGAGGCTGTAGCAAAGACAGCAAATTCTTGGCGCTTGGGGGCAACAGTGGGAGGGCTTCTGGAGTCCTGGCCCTGCTGGTGGACCTCCTGATGGCACCTGGGTTTTGGCCACTGTGTGTCACAGAGTGTTGGACTGGATGGGTCATTGGCCTGATCCAAATGGCTTCTCTTATGTTCATACTGAGAAGCTGATTGAATGGAAGCAAGCCATTCACCAAAGGATTAGAACTCTAGAGATGGACAGGGCAGAGTCAATACCACACAGGCAAACAAGGAGAGGGTGAGCACAAGAGCAGGCAAAATGGAGCAGCAGAGAGAAATTGTATGGGAAGTTGCAAGCAAACAATTATTGGAAGGTACAATAGGGACAAATCCTGTCACACAGAACAGTGGAACAGCTAGTTTGCAGTCCAGTAGCACCTTAGAGATCAACAAGATGGGGGGGGGAGGGTGTATGAGCTTTCAAGAGTCACAGTGCCATTTGTCAGATAGAGCAGTGAAGGGAATGAAGCAAGACTAGACAGAAGCAAACTGGCTGCAAGGGGAAGATTATGGTTGTCAGAGGCTTTAGGTGTGAAACAGGAGCCTAAATGCCTGAGGTGAGGAGAGACTGTACTGATTTGTTTATTGATTTAAAATATTTGTAGGCCACCTTGGTGGCCAGTTTGGTGTAGTGGTTAAGTGTGCGGACTCTAATCTGGGAGCACCAGGTTTGTTTCCCCACTGCTCCACTTGCCCCTGGCTGGATGACCTTGGGCAAGCCATAACTCTGGCACAGCTGTTCTCGAAAAAGAGCAGTTTCTGTCAAGAGTTCTCCCCACCCACCTCACAGGGTGTCTGTTGTGGGGAGGGGAAGGGAAAGGAGTTTGTAAGCCGCTCTGAGACTCCAAGTGAAGGGCGGGATATAAATCCAATCTCCTCCTCCTCCTCCTCCTCCTCTTCTTCTTCTTCTTAAAAACGTTTGAAGCAGTTAACAACAGGAAAAAGGCTACAGCACTCCAAGGAACTATAAAATCAACAAAATTCAGGACACCAGTCCTATGAAAAAAATCGACAAGCTGTAAAATAGGTTTTAAAATAGCAGCAATAGAAACACAATAATCAGATCATGTCAACAGACAGCAATGAATGTGACATGGCTCAGGTGGGGTGTCACCTGACGCTGCCACCACTCTGGTTCCAGGCTCCCCTGAGGCCCAGAGCACCCTCCCAAGACCTTCAGACCTCCATTTTGGCTGAATAATAGGCATGAGAACCAGGCAGAGTACAAAAAGGAAAAGGCTTATTTTATAGGAGGTCAAACAACAAGGCACAGATTAACAGTAAGTGGGTGAAAAGAAAAGAAATCAAATGCCCTTACGTGTCTAAATATACTGTCCCTAGCTCACTATCTGCAGTGGCCTTAGACTACTCACCCTTCTTTCAGGATGAGGGTTTCTTCCTGCAGCAGCCTTCGTTCTGGCTCTGCCCTCTGGGAAGAAGAACAGTTTTTCCTGCTGCTCCAGATCTTTTATTCCAAGCCCTCCTCTTTTCCTATTGGTCAATTTTGGCTCCAAAACCTCTCAGGGGCTTCTGGGAGTTGTAGGCCCAGCCTCACCTACTGCTAGCCAGGCTACCTGGGCCTAGTAGGCTTCTGGTGGCACAGCCCCGATCATGACAGAATGTTAGACCCACCAGAAAGTAAAGAAATGGGAACAAAAACAACAACAAAAAACCCAAACATATATCTCGATTAAATGTATGCTCAGGCCTCAAAATCCTCTTTGGAAGGCAAAAGTGGTATGTGATATTTGCCCTTGCAATTAACACGCAATATGAAATCTCCAGATTGGCCCACCCTGGTACAAACCTCTGGGAGTCCGACCTTCTGCCTTTTCCTGATCAGCAGAGTTGCACATTCTGCTTGTTGAGCATCTCTGCCTCAGGCCACTGCTTTTCGACACCCCGTGCCTGGAAAGTGCATCCTCCATGTAGGGACCTGGATGCTACCTAGGCCTGTGTTGGGTAGCTCTACCTAATTCCCTTAGGATCCCATATACTGGGAGGTCCTAAAGCAGAGACACACAACACACCCCATTTGCTTCACCTGAACAATATCTTGGTACATTCTCCTCTTCCAGAGATGAGAACTGTGGAAAAATCAAATAACACAAAAGTAGCCAAATTAAATACTTTTGCCATTTAAGGCTGATGGCTTGATTTCCTCTCCCTTCAGTTCCTCCAAAAAGCAATGTTGGTTTGTAGGTCTGAACAGAAAGCTTTGTGTGTGTGTGTGTTGTGAAACATTTCATGGTAGAGCTCCCAAAATCTATTTTCCCCAGTTTTCTTCCATCTCAGTGGAAGCAGCAATTGTGCTTGCTGTCACTGGTGGGCACCTTTTGTTTCTCTCTATTCTCAAACACACACGCGCGCACCAGTGACAGCAGGAAACATTGATCTCTCTCTGATTTCGCAGATGTTATAATGTAGCCAAAATTCATTGCCTTTCTCTCTTAAGTTTCTTTACTGCACCACAAGGCTAACCAAGTTTGTTTCTATGTGGTGACATCTGAATTGACTGAAGCCAATATAGGGTGTAAGTCAATATTTTCTGCCCTCACTGTGGTAGTTTTGTTTAAATAATACAGAAAAGAAATGGCACCCAACAGTCATGATCACCACTGCCAGTTAAGTTGGCTTATGCAGACTCCTTGGAAAATCACTGAGGGGGTGGTGGTGTTCCTGCTTGCAGGCTGATAAGAGGATAGCAGAATTATGATGGGCATTTGGGCTAGTAGTTATTGGTTTTGGATATTAGTTGCATATTTGGTGCCAAAACATCTTTTAAATTCAGTACCTAATATCACTGAATTATAAAATGGAATGAAAGAATTCCAGCATTTCCAAAGGATATTTTAGAAACCTGTTGGAAAGAATGGATTTAGAAATTATGAAGAACTAAATTACCTGTTAATTCCTTAACCATAAACAAGAATTTCAGCTTGACAACTGATATTAAAATCATAACTGGTTTCCCTACTTAAGTGGGCGGAAGAAGAGAGAGCTTAAACAAATTCTAACAGAATCTCTTGATTCAGATAATTTCCCCAGTGACTTTCCTATGTTGTTAAGAGAAAATAAACTGTTACCTTGATTAAAACATCATCAAAAGAATAAATCAGCTTTATTGAGATAAGAGTGTTGTTAATTTTAATTGTTTAGTTAACTGGTTAAAAGCAAGATAGTTAATTGCCTAAAATATTGACTTGGTTGAAAAGCTTTACTTAAAACTGCATTGGTCCGATCATCCTCTTAAGTCAATTTTCCCAAGCAATGAGTTGGAGTCCATTTGTCATTTCCAGAACTTTGCTTGTTGTGATTGACTCTGGAATGGTGATCTTTTGGGGGCCTTTCTAAACTCCTGCCCAGATGGCAGCACACTCTAAATGCTGCATGTAGGTATGGGTCCTCCCAAATGGTGACAGTTCTCTGTATAATGTCAAAGGCCTTCACAACAACAATGGAACATCATTATGGAGGTTTCCCCCACACTTTCCTCTCCCCCCCCTCACCATTTCCTGCCTCCACAGCACCAAATAGCTTTTGAAATAAATCAGTAATTGACATATCACTATAGCATAATTACTCTGTAGTGATATATCAGTTACCCATTTTTTTATTTAAAAATAAAAGCCCAAACAAGGCCTCTGGTGGCCTTGGGTGATTGGGGAAAAGAAAAAGGAACTGAAGTGAGCAGTACCTGCAAAAACCCATACCTTCCCAGTACAAACACACTTTGATTGGGATATTTCGGGGGGGGGGATCATTCCAAAGCAGGTTCTCAGCAAAGGAGGCAGGGGGAGGGGAGCCAGAAGATGCGCAAAGGCACGACAGCACTATGCAGATGCTAGGGAAAAGACCCCTCCTGCTTGGGAGCCATAGAAGAACACCACAGCTATATAGAAGCAAATTATGCCAGGGCAAGAGACTGTAGAGAATGAACTAGAATGGGTAAGGAGAAAATAAAGTCCCATCAACATGTTCAGAAAAGGCAAACAATGCATGTTAGCAGACTGAGAGACGGTGCTGTGTAGCTGGTAGTGGATTGGACAAGGAACAGTGAGACCCAGGTTCAAAAATGCCCACTCTGCCATGAAGCTAATTGGGAGATTCTGGGCCAGTCATGGTCTCATTCTAACCTACCTCACAGGTTTGTTACGAAGATAAAAATGTAAGAGATGAATACAATTGCCCTGAGCTCTTTTGGAGAAAGAATGTGCTAAAATATAGCAGCAAGATAATTGTTTTGTTATTGTTGTTATTATGATTAACTTCATTAGACTTTTTTAGAGTTGTTTGCAATTGGGGCGGAGGATTAGGGCACTACAGAGGAGGGATTTCAAGAGGAGGTGATGTTGCATGTATCTCTGGATGGTGAGGGAGAATGAGAAAGTATGGCAATGTTTTAGCAAGTCCCAGCATTAAATAATCTGGAAACCCTATGGAATGTCACACCCGACAACTATTGACAAATGCCGACATAACTTTTTTTCTTAATGGGGTGCAAAATCTCTGCTGCTATTTGGTCTCTGATCCAACTCCTCTTATAGTTTTTTTAAAAAACCTCTTGAAATGTAGTTTAAATCTTGCTTAGCAATCACTTTTGGAATCCAGATTTCCAGAGCATTTGAAAATCGTTGATATAGAGCAGCCACATTTTTTTTTCAGACTCACCATGGCTCAGCTCCAGAATGGTCCCATGCAAATGATATAATTGGGTGCTGAAGGCTTCTTGTGCTTATTTTTGGTGATGTCAAGAAAATAATGCGCTTGGAGTAGAACTGCAAATGTATTTTCTTTTCCCTTGTCAGAAGTGTTTCCTGAACACTCATCCAGGAATTCAGGAATAACTTTGGGTTCTTTCTGTCTCGGGGGCCAGCAGCCACAGGAAGGGGGTTGCAAGCTGACTTCAGCTCTCTCTTTCCAGTTTTATTGCTTCTTTAAGAATGCCTTGGCCTAATTGAAAGCAGAAATTGACCTAACAATGAGAATGCAGGCTGTGATCTGCAAACCATTTTCTATGTAGTAAACCCTGCTGACTTCACTAAGACAGTTCCAGAGAAAGGCAATTGACAACAACATCCTCCACCAAGAAGCACATAAGCCTCTTGGTTTTGTTAATAGAATTTTGCTTTAGGAAACTAGGGGAGATTTACCAGTGTTTCTCAAAATTAATGAATCGGAACCCCTCCCCCTAAAAGGTACTACTCACTCATTCAGGCCATTGCAACATAGAAACATGACTGCCCTACATGTACATACAGTGCTGTTTCTTTTCATTTCTCACCCTGCTCTTAAACACACATACAACCCACTCCCCTCTCCTGGTTCACCTGCAATTTGAGGTGCCTACATTACAAAATGCTGTTTTCCTGCAGAACAATCTTGGTGGGATCTATGTATCTATCGACTGATTAACTATCATGCTGAAACTCCACCTTTTCTCTAAGAAGCTGAGGGAGGAGTAGTAGAAGAAGAAGAAGAGATTGGATTTATACCCCGCCCTTCACTACCCAAAGGTGTCTCAGAGCGGCTTACAAACTCCTTTCCCTTTTCCTCCCCACAACAGACACCCTGTGAGGTAGGTGGGGCTGAGAGAGCTCTGACAGAAACTGCTCTTTTTCAAGAACAGCTCTTACTAGAGCTACGGCTTGCCCAAGGTCATCCAGCCAGGTGCAAGGGGAGGAGTGGGGAATCAAACTCAGTTCTCCCAGATTAGAGTCCGCACACTTAACCACTACACCAAACTGGCTCTCACTGAGTTATGGACAGTCTCCTGTCTGTCCCTTTTCCAACACTGATAAAATGTGTTGTTGTTGTTGCCATTCAGTCATGTCTGACTCTTGGCAATTCTATGGGCCAGCTCTCTCCACGTTTTCCGATCTTGTACTATTTCTTTGAGTTGTTCCATGCTCAGGCTGGTGTCAACTTTTATGGTGTTTAGCCAACGTGTTCTTTGGTGACCCGGTTTCCTTTTGCTGCTAACCAATCCAAGCGTAATATACCCTATAGAAAATAAATGCAGACATGTCCTTGGGCTCATCTTTCTTGCTACTGAACATGTGGTCTTACAGATCTTCACAGTGTGAATATGTTACTGGAAAAACCGGAGCTGAGAGCATGGATTTGCTTTCCTACCCATGTTTGGGGCATTGGAATATGGCCACACAAGGCAATTGTTGTAGCACTCATTTTATATTAATTACTTAATTAATTATGAAATTAGATTTACTAGGCCTACAAGTAGGGATCAGGGCAGCTTACAACAAAATAATATACAAATCTCAGATTAAAACTAAATTAAAACAGCCAAATAAATACCAAGTACCTAAAACAGCACAGACAAAATGGCAAAAACACAGCATATATAAGATGGTGGAAAGATTCCAACTCCCCAGCCTCCCTAGGGGGAAGGGTTTGAGTATATTCAATGAGTGAGTTGCACAGTTCACATCTGACACCATAGTGTCCTGTATGCCAGGGGCCTCCAACACCTGCCCAGTGTTTTTAGAATGTGGGCAGAGACAGTTGGGGCTTTTGCCCAGCAAGCATCCAATCTGATTGGCTGTGCAGGTTATTTTTTTTATTTGCTTCAGCAGCAGCTTCCACTATAGCACAAAGCTTTTCATTGAATGAATGAAGGTAAACTGTATATATGCAAGAAAATATTTTAAAGCTATATGTTAATTTTAAAAGGCATCCTGTTAAACAGAGCTTCTGCCTGAAATGTTGAAGTGTTACTATTAGAGTTACACATGAATTCACACCCTGACATGTTGTGGTTGGCTCAGCCTCTTGTGGCAGCCATTTTGTGGTTGCACCCACCATCCTGTATCAGAATCCCAAAGTTACCCACAGGCTCAAATTTTTGGGGACCCTTGCTGTGTGCTGTTACAATATGCACCGCTTCTTGGGTTCTTTAATAGAAAAACCAGTGTATTACATTGCTGAAAATCAAGGCGTGTTACACAAAAACATGCAATAAAACATCATACCACAAACAGTATAATAGAAACAATATACATATAAACAATATCACAAGCAATGCAATGAAAACTGAATTAAGAAAATAGAATTATCACTCTACTAACAGTAAAGCCCATTGAAAAAGCAATACAACGAGCTCTAGAAAGATGTGATGTGTAACAAATGCATAGGCTGGAAGGAGGTAAAGTAAATATTATCCGTCTGTACGTGAAAGATACAAATGTGGAAGTAAAGTCTCATATACCTTATGTTATACAATAGTCGGTGTCCAAGGTCACACAATCTGGGCCAGAAAATGTTGCACCCGGGGGTCTGTGGAGTAGTGTCAACAACTGGGCAGTCTGCAAAGTCTTTATGTTGGATGTCCGTGTCATTCAATGTGGTTGTGGTCACACTGTTAGAGCAGAGGTCTCAAGGGAAGGTGGGTTGAAAGTGAGTAGTCATGATAAAAGTCTCAGTAGGGAATGAGAAGGAGGAATCTTTGGAAATGAGTGTTGTCAAATGTCTATAGTCTTGAAAGTTGTCATTTTTGGTAGAGAAGTGTGGCTGAGGAATGTTTTCCAGCAAGATAGTTTCGGGCTAGATGGTTTCAGGGCCTGGGCCTCCCACCCCTCGCAGACAGGCCCCGCCGGCCCAGGTAGGCCAGACTCAGCCCTCCCACCCCACCAGGCACGCCTCGCCAGCCCAGTAGGCCGGCCGTGGCCCTCCCACCCCACCAGGCAGACCCCGCCAGCCCAGGTAGGCCGGCCACAGCCCTCTCTCCCCATGGCAGGCCCCGCTGGCTCACCTCAGAATCCAGCTGGGGTGGGGGGAAGATGGACCCTACCTGCTGCAAGGCTCTCCCAAGGGCTGAAGAATGGTCGGCAGGCAAACGGCCATGACTGCTCCTCTGCTGACCTTCTCTTGACGGCTGAAAAAGGCTGGTCAGGCACATGGCTGCTCAGCTGCTGAGGTAATCTGTTCGGATTGGAGTTTTGGCGGGAGCTGGCTCTGTGGGCGGGACTCAGGCACACCTTCTGATGGGCAGTTCAGGCAGCCAACTGATTTTGGCAAACATAGAATGTTGCCATGCGAAAACACGTTTATATATAAGGCCAGGATTTCTTTATTCACTACCAAGAGCATTTGAAGCAATGTTTGGGAACATCCTGGCTCTCATCCTTCACCATTGTAAGTCTTTATTTAATTTCTTAAAGCTTGTAATCCGATTATACATATATATGCATTATTAGCTTTCGTTATCGACGGATGTCTTCTCAACATTTTCAGGGAGGCATTCAGTCTAGAAACCACAATGATGCACTTTATTGAGAAAGGATGCTAAAGACTGCAGTGGAGAATCATTGGTCTATACACTATCCACTATACTTCTACAGTGTTTCCTTGCTTTGTTTTAGTTGTCTTGTTTAATTTGGAGGGATGGAGAGCAGCAACATTTTTTCTGTCATCTTTTAGACTGTAAACTCTTTCTGTGTGCTTTATTTTAACATGGCATACTTTCTTACTTCCAGATGTCTGTGGGGGGGTGCTCACCGGCCTTTCTGGATCAATAACAAGCCCTGATTATCCTGAGAATTACCCCAACAATGCTGAATGCCTTTGGATCATCCAGGCAACTTCAGATTCTGTCATCAAATTGGTTTTTGTTGACTTCCAAATGGAAAACAGTGAACAGTGCAGTTTTGATTATGTGGCAATCTTTGATGGGCCTACCATGGGGGATCCACTTCTCAGTCACTACTGTGGGAGTATGAAGCCTCCAGCTGTAGTCTCTTCCATGCATGAACTTCTGGTTGTGTTCAAATCAGACTTTAACATTGCAGGCAGAGGCTTCAAGGCCTATTTCTTTTCAGGTATGTGTAGAAATTCTACTTTTACTGTATATGAAGATCAAGTAATCAGATGCATGTAAGATTCTGTGGTATTTCCACCAGCACACAAGATTATCCTAGGAAAAGGAGATAGATAGCCACCACTAGCCCCACAAAACACTAGATTTTGGACAAACAGAGAGATAAAACTTGACTTCACCAAATAAATAAATATTATAACTGTTTTTATTTGGATTAAGCTTTCTGCTGTTGTGAGTGTTAAGTTTTCTATGCTGAGCACATGAAGTATCTAATTATCTTCCTTGTCTGGCAGTGATGCTCTAGAGTCTCAGGCCGATAAAGTCTTACCCAACACCTACTATCTAGATCCTTTTAGCTAGTGGCAATGAGGATTGAACCTGGGACTTCCTGCATACATAACATGTTCTCTACTATTAAGCCACATATCTTCCCCTGATATGCTCATAATCAGTGAGAATCACTTAATATTGGCTTCAGGCAAGACTTGATTCTAACATTATTTTTTTAATATAATAGTGTTATTCCCCCTCCCCCTTTGTTGCATGTTGAATATTCATTCTTAATATAAACCCACATGGTAAAGTTTGAGATTTACCACAGCCTATAGAATTTCAGGTTTTGATCATGTTCCAGGAATTCACAAATTGGAGTCCTCAGTACAAGGATACTTAAAAAAAATGTCCATCACAGACAATGAATAAAAGACGTCACCACATCCCAAATTACCTTAAGAAGACCAAGGGGGAATCTGGACATTCAGGGGACATTCAGTTACAGCCCTCTAGGAATTGTATTGCTTCAGAATGCTGGAGGGAGTCCCATATGTGGATGCTACCACTGAATGAAGCATAGTCACCTTCCAGATGAGGTTGTTTTCTAGGTGCCAGGATTGTTTTTAATCAAAGGGCTGTCCCATGAGCATGTTCCCAAAAGTGATTCCACACTATAACCTGTTTGTGCTGCTGAAGGATTTCTTATCCACTTTGAATCACAAGTGGACTTGCAATGGGGTTTTATGATTTAACACTACATTTCCCACAAAAATCTATCCTCACACAAGATCTTAGCACATTCCTGTTGACTACAAAGTACAAAAAGTAACTAAGTTCCCCCTCCCTCAAGAGAACAAGAGTTGAAAATTTACAATGAATTCATGAACACCTCAAGAAATGACCTGGCTGCAGGAGGTAACATGATGTAATTAATTAAGCAAAAGAGGAAAGAGGAAATTTTAAAGGGACAGGAGCCCTGAGAAAATTCAGCTCTTTCTCCACATAGGACAGCCCAGAGCTGCAATTGTGTATTAGATTTTAAACATCATCACAAGTCAGGCCTGACAAAAGACAGACACAGCACAGAAAATACAGAAATGCAACAGATCACCTATGATGTCATCTGTATTGTCCGTAAAAACTGAGTGAAAGAATCATGACAATTCCAGACTAAATGGCTGGTGTGGAACCAACCCAAAGTGTCAATCATCACAAAGTCGGAATCATTACATAGGGATTCTGTTACAGGGTCTGGGCAGGTCTGTCTTCGAGAAATATGCTGCCAGGCATTTATCCAGCTGTTTTTTCCTGACATAGCAAGGTCATAACTGGCAGCTGAAACACAGCACAGTTATTGTGTATGGATGTGTTGTCTGGAACTGTGGCTTTATATGGCAGGAAGTAGGCAGAAGATCAAATTGGGAATACTGAGATAATTCTCAAATCAGGAACAGTGAGGCAAAAGATAAATGATGCCTCCACCAGAATGGAGATCAATGCAGTTGCAGACGATGGTGCAGCTTTGAATGTCCAATCAACCTGAGGTGTGGTGCAGACCACACTGATAGAAACCCAATATCAAACAGTCCAGTAGTTTTGTGTTAGATATTGGTGTGTGCAGCTGATACTCAGGATGCTTACCCCCACTGTGCAACCAGCAATGTGCTGCATTCAGACCGGAGAGGATGACATCCACATACCCATCCTTGCTGCCCTCATTGGTGTTGGCAGAGCTTAAGCATGAAGAGGAATGGAGCACCAACTGTGTAAAGAAATAACTCAGTTTATTAAAGAAGAAATAAATTCTGATAGAACAGAGGAGAGATAGGGTAACGAAATGCTGTGTGAGACAGGAACGAAGAGGGAGGGCTCAGCTGGAGCAGGAAGTTTCCAAAGAGTCAGTCAGGAGACAGGAAGGACATAATGTGAAACTGTGGGAAGTCCCTAATCTAGCTATGCTAACCAGCAGTCCTTCAGCTGTCCCCTATAGGCTGTTCTGATCTTCTTAAAGTAGGTGCCCTATAAACCTTTCACATTCCAACAATAGGTACCTTCCCTTCCCCAGAAAAACCCAGCAATCCACCCTTCCTGGCTGAGCCACTTAGCCACACCATTTTGCAGGCTGAGCTTAGATCCCGGATTGGCTGTAGACAGAACTTCCACAGAGAAACCCAGCCCATAGCCAGACTGCTTGGCCCTGTTTAAATCAGATCAACATATCTTTTTCTCCTTTGATCTATTTTAAAAAGGGAGGTTGTGGGTGTCCCACAAGTCATACTTGGAATGAGCAGACTATCATCTGGAAGCTCCCAAAAAGCATGGGGACATGCTCTCTCTTCAGGAAAAAAAACCCCTGTGTTGAAGCAGCCTCTGTAGCAGTTGCTTAATACAGGGTCACTTTCTGGTTTGGGCTACAGTTAACTTGAGGCCACCAGTTGATTGCTGGCACTGCACCCTCACAGCTGTGCCTGAAGGCATTTTCCAGGGGTTGCAGGGCAGAGGAAGGTGTTAAGAAGCTCATAAGTAGTATGAAAAGAAACCAGAATTCATGCTTTGACTGCTTGATTTGTATTACATTCCCTTTCTTCTGTAACCAGGTGCATGTCAGGAGGTATACACGGCTGTCAAAGGAAATTTCTCTAGTCCTCAATATCCCAACTTTTATCCCAACAATATCAAGTGTCACTGGACCATCCAGCTGCCCCCAGGATATCGAATCAAAGTCTTCTTCCTGGACTTGGATCTGGAAGGACGGAACAGTCTGACAGATGGCTGCGATTATGACCATCTCGCTGTGTTTGATGGAGGCACTGAGAAAGCATTGCTTTTGGGGAAGTGGTGTGGGAGAGAAATGCTGTCTCCTATTATATCCAGTAGAAACAAACTGCTATTGGTCCTTCACACAGACCGGAATACAGCCAACCGAGGTTTCTCAGTGGCATATATTGGAGGTAAGGCCTGCAGTCTGATCTCTTTCACCCAACTTTCCTGCTGCATGGATTTTAAAAGTAGAACAAGTGACAGATTATTACTTTTGGGGAAAAAACAGTTACTCTATGTTATGTGCACAACACAAAGTCTTAATTGATAGTACATGGGGGTGCACTCAATTTGTTAATGCTAGTACCATTGGATAACTATGCAAAGCAATAGCTTGTAAGATCAGTAAACTGCTATTTTGCATGCAGTTTCTCAACAGCTCAGCAAGCAGTCGGGAAATTATGCTTTGTTTTAGGCAAAATATGGGCTGTCTTGATATACACACTGCATATTTAATTTTTAACAGCACACGCTTTAAAAAACTTATGCCCGGCCTTGGCGGGGAGGGCGGGGTACAAATCTGAGTAAATAAATAAATAAATGAAAAGATGACCTTGATCTCTTAAAGTTACAGTTCTGAGTGTGACTGTCAAAAGTCCCAGTCCCAACCCTGGGAAAGGACTTTTGGTACAAGGGGAGTGCATCATAAAACAAAGTACCAGAGAGAGTCTAAAACTCACCCTAGTCTTGGTAGGTTGCCACCAGATCTTTCAATCTATGTCAACAGCCCAGGAGAGAAAGACCAAGCCTCTCGGCTTCTCATGGAACTTAACAAGAAAAGTCAGCCCTGCAGAGTGGGACTGCAGTCTGAGTTTCCAAGACAAAACAGTTAACTGGTAGGCGGTCAAGAGCCAAGGCTCTGGATGAAGATTTTGAGGGTCTAGTGGTTAATTGGGCACAATAAGCCTTGTAAGCAATATCATTTCCAAGGGCACACGGGGTAAAACATTTCTGATGCACCATCACCACTGATTTCCCCACAAATCCCCTATATTTTATGTCTACTTCAGCTAGCTCTCTTTCAATGGGGTTACTTGCATAAGGGGTCACATATTTTTTTACCTGGGAGGATCTGTCCTGGCCTTAACAACCTCCTTGAAATACTGGTCAGGTCTGTCCCTGAATCCCTCCAAGAAAGGACAAGAATGTTATTAATCCTTATTTCATGAGAAAACTCCATTTTGGCCCAGTTGATCTGCATTGGGTCCAAAAAAGCAACATTGACAGGTTGACATGCTTTCTCTCAAGATGAGGCAGCTGGAGTCTCAGCTGTCGACTCTGTAGATGATGAATAGCTGGGAGAAGTCTCCTCTTCTTCCCAGTTCTCAGCTGACTCAGCTTGATTAATCACATTCACACGGGTATCAGCAGCAGGTGTGCTGGTCTTAGGCTTCTCTTTTGCTTTGAAAAAAGGACAGTTAGCCTTTATATGCCCAGAATTCTTACAGTAAAAGCAGAGTTCACTCTTAGGATCAACTATGGGTCTCACAGCAGCAGTTGGCGATGATGAAGGCTTCTTCGCAGGGGTGTTGTGCTGGCTCTCTACTGGCTTGGATGTGTTACTGACAGCTGCTGGGCGCACATTGCTTCCTCCTTCAAAGGCAGATTTTCCCATTGCCTTCTCACAATGCTGTCTCATGTGTTCAGCAAGGTCTGTAGCTTGGTCTAGCAAGATAGGATCCCAGTCTCTGACCAAAGCAGACAGTTCATCTGGCAACAAGAGACAGAATTGTTCCATGAGAATTAACTCTCTCAAGTCATTGAAGGTACGCACTCCTTCAGCAGTTAGCCATCTGTCCAGATTCTGAGACAATGTGGCAGCAGCAATGTGGAAGCTTCCTTGCCACAGGCTCTTATCCACTTTTCTGAAAGCTCTTCTGTAGGTTTCAGAGGACAAAGCAAACAGTTGCTGAGCAAGATTCTTAAACTTCTGGTAGTTCCCAGCGTCTGCAACTTGAATATTCCCAAGCAAATCAGCAAGCAATGTAGTCACCTGGGACCTCAGGATGACCATATAATGTCTCTTAGGGACCCCCAAATCTTCACAGGTCCGTTCATAGAGAGAAAAATGCTAGAATGTCCTGTCCCTCTTTATAAGTGGGAAACATTTGTCATAATTCCAAGGAGAGTCATCTCTCTGTGTAACAGGGTGAGCAACAGGGAAGTCCATGGCATTTCTCCACCTAGACTCTGCACTTTGCCGGTCTGCGTCTTCTGCCCAGAATTCTGATTTGAAGTGGTGTCGACACCTTCTCAAACTCAGTAGTCCCTCTCTCACCAAGTCCAGAACTCAGTTGGTCTCCAGCAGGATTTCTGCGGACTACAGCTTCTGCAGAGTGTCTGGGGCATCTCGGCAGCTCTTCTCTGTCACGCCCGTCTCGCAGTTCCAGGTTCTCCGGTTCAAAGGTGCAAATCCTCAACCTCACAGGCGGTGAAGGTCGCATGTCTTGTTGTTCCAACATGAGATCAGGCATTCCTGTAAAATCCTCAGTCAGGATGGTGTCTTCCTCCAAGTGCAGCTCAGACTCTACACGTCCTTCTGCCATAATTTCAAAACCCTAACTGCACTCAGTCAAAATAACAAACTCTTCACAGCCAAGTACCAATATTTTTGCACAGACTAAAAACCAGGAATTTGACTTCAAAACCTCAAGTGAATCCCACAGCTCCCACCATGTCAAAAGTCCCAGTCCCACCCCAGGAAAGGACTTTTGGTACAAGGGGAGTGTGTCACAAAACAAAGTTACAAATTACCAGAGAGAGTCTAAAACTCACCCTAGTCTTGGTATGTTGCCACCAGGTCTTTCAATCTATCCCAACGGCCCAGGAGAGAAAGACCAAGCCTCCCGGCTTCCCAGGGAACTTAGACTGAAATTAAGTAAACTGCCATTTATTTAATTTCATCCTTATTAACAAGATAGGCTTTGCAAGAGGGTGGTTGCATGCTAATTAAAATCACACCTTTTTCATACAGTGTTTTGTATTTGCTATTTTCTTTTCTTTTGTGAAGTACATTTACCCTGTTCCTGGTCTTTAATGCATAGGCTGGCAAGACAAGAGATAAGGTAGATCAGATGAGAGCTACCCGCAAACAGCTGAGAGTTTTTTGCCAGCTGAGATAAGTAGCATAGCTTAGCAAATGGCGAGCTTTAAGTTTAGTAAGGCAAGAACTTTCAAACACATCACAACAAAGACATATGTCTACATATAAAGCATTTTCATTTTAGTTTTAAAGAAAATTTTAACAAGGTGGCTTAATCAAAATTCCCATCAGTTTCTAAAGCATCTCATTTGTTTATCAGCCAACATGGTATAGTGGTTAGAGTACCAGACTACAATCTGGGAGACCCAGGTTCAGATCCCCACACTCCCTGTTTGGTGACCTTGGGCCAGTCATACACTCTTAGCCTAACCTACCGCATGGAATTGTTGTGAGGATAGGGTTGCCAGGGGCAGGGGGCCCCAGTCTTCTGTCTGGTGTCTTCCTGTGTGTGTGCTATTTGCGCTTGCTACAATGACATCATCCAGAAGTGACACCATCACGCTAGGCACATTGCTGGGAGGACACTCTAGCATTCAGCCAAAAACTCTATGGACACCATAGAGCTTTTGGCTAGAGTGTCCCCCCAATGACATGCCCAGCATGGTGACATCACCTCCAGGTGATATCATTGTGCCAGACACATTGGGCGCCATGGAGTTTTTCTGGGGTGGGGCACCCCCTGCTGGCAGCTGACCAGTGGGCAGATTGGAGGGCCTGAAATTGGGGGGAAACCCACCCCAGTTGGGGGGGGATGGCAACCCAATATGAGAATAAAATGGAGGAGTGGAGAATGATGTAAGCTACTTTGGGTCCCCATTGAGGATGTTTGTGACCTAACAAAACCTGACTCCATGTATAAGTTATCTCTGTAGTCTGGAGATAATTTGTAATTATTGGAGATCTCTAGGCCCCATGGGGGTTCTTCCATCTGGCTGGTGGGGGAAATCCTGACCCCAAACAGCCACATCCAGGTGCGACATCCCCAATGCGATGATGTCACCTGGGAGTGATGTCATTGCATCAGAGATGTCACACGTGGCACTCTGATTTGAGGGAAAACTCTATGGTAAATTTGACTTAAAACCATAGAGTTTTGCTCTTAAACCAGAGCATTGCTGTGCAACATCACTGATGCAATGATGTCAGTTCCGAATTATGTCATCACATCGATGACATCCTAGAACACCCCCCAAATCCCCCTTCCAGCATGGCGAGGGGACCTGGCAACCCTAAGGCCCCACCTGGAGGCTGGCAATCCTAGCAGGCCAAGGCTAAAAGACAAACTCAGAAGAAGACGAGTTGGTTTTATACCCTAGCCTTCACCTATAGGAGTCTCAGAGCAGCTTACAATCACCTTCCTTTCTCTCCCCACAACAAACACCCTGTGAGATAGGTGGGGTTCTGAGAGAGCTGTGTTGGACACAAGGTCACCCACAGCAGGCTTCATGTGAAGGAGTGGGGAATCAAACCCGGTTTTCCAGATTAAAGTCCGTTGTTCTTTTTTTTTAATAATAATTTTATTATTTTAAACAAACATATATGAGAGTAATGATAACAACATCATATCAATTAACTCACCTCATACATATATATCTATATTCTATTTTTCCCACCATATGGTCACCTAATATTTTGCAAATCTAGATTTTGTAATCAATATTTTTAACTATCTTATTCTATAAGTCTAACTTTGGATATACCTTAAAGTTACATAATCACTAAGCTGTATAATATTTGCATCTCTATTGATTAACAAGACCTATTTTCTTTTATTTTCTTCTACAACAATCTTTTATAAACTATATTTAATTATTAACTAGATTTTATACCATTTTCCATAATCATATGCTTTTATCATTCTATTTATGCTAATTATTTTGACATCAATAAAAGAAAATTCTCTGGTCTACTTCTTATATCATGCTGCCTTTGTTTATAAATTCTATCCTACTTTTCCCCTTTCCCTTTTTTATATATATTCCCTATATATTCTTCCCCAGTTACACAAATTCATAAGATCCTTAAACCCATCTTATTTATATAACACCTTTTAAAAATCAAATTAAGTCCTTAATATCTTTATAAGTTTGCCATTTGTGTAGTCTTCTATTATAAGCCTTGTCTAAATAAAAATCAAAAATTTTCAATATACCTCTCTATCCAATCTTAATCAAATAGACATTAATTTGATTAAGATTGGATAGAGAAGTATATTTCCGGTTCATGGCGGCGCGCTGAGCAGTCGCACCTTTCGGACCTCCTGGGGGTGAAGCTGCACTCTGGCCGAAGGAGGGGGTGCACAGGATCGTCACACCCCCAGAGACCCGGCTAAAGGGGCTCTGCCCATGGGACTCTCGAGGGGTTGCCTCTTCGCCGGCACGATGCCGGGGAATTGAGGTGCCTCTCCATCCCAAAGGTTCTTCGTGCCATAAGACCGAATGGAACCAAGCGACGCTGACCAGGGCAAGCGCAGGAGGTCGAGCGAAAGAAACAGAGCTTAAACAAGGTCTGAGGACCAACTATGAACATGAGTTCAATCTAAGTGTTTAAATAAAAGGAAAAGAAAGCTCCCCAAACCCCCCACAGAACAGAAAGTGAGGCAAGCGGGGGAGGGACGCCTCCCAAACGCACGTACTTAAAAGCTAATTGAAGGGGAGGAGCAGAAGAAAAAGCGAATAAAACTGTTAAGAAAGACTTACCAAGGCGGGTTCGAGCGTACAAGCACATACTCAGAGACTTTGAAAATATCAGTTAAAGTAAACAATCCACAAAGATGGTGGGGAAGAGGACGGAGAAAGAGAAACTTTTAAAAACAAAAGGGACTGAGAGCCCAAGACCGGAAGCAACCAGCGAGCTGGCAAAGACATTGGCGGAATCCATGCACCCTCTGCTGGACCAGATGAATAATCTCAAGCAGCAGCTGTCAACAATGAATCAATGTATCACCACCCAGCAAACACAGTTGAGTGAGACACTTAAAATGATGAATCAAACAGCTGAGAAGGTGAAAGAAGTGGACACCACTGCACAAAAGGTGAAGAAGAAAGTACAAAAGCTGGAAAAGAAGCAAATCTCCACGGAAGATCAGCTGTTACAACTACAAATGGAAAAAGCTAATTTGATTCTTCGCTTTCAGGGCCTTCCAGAGACTAAAGGAGAGAATCTGAAGGAGAAGATGAGTGAATTATTGGCTCCAATGACAGAGATGAAGGCAGAATCTTTTCTGAGCGATATGGATGTGGCCTACAAGTCATATTCAGGATATATAAAGAAAAACAATCTGCCTGGGGAAACAGTGATAAGATTCTCGAAGAGATGTGTGAGGGATGCAATCTTGAAAGCGGCATCTGGAGCTCTTTTGAAAGTTGGAGATAATGCTATCAGAATCCTAAAAGACATTCCATTTGAAATAAGACAAAGGAGAAAGTACAAATATTTAATTCTTTTTCTCCAGACAAAAGCAATTGGATACAGATGGCTAACACCAGAAGTCGTGATCTTCAAAATCAAGGATAAAAAGGAAAAGATTGACTCTGTTCACAAAGCACAGAAGTTTTTGAGAGTCCAGATGGGAGAGCCAGAGGAGGAAGAAAAAGAAGGGATGAACAGTAAGTCCAGCGGCGAGCTGGAGTCGGGGTCTTCCGGAGAGGACTCTCTATCAGAGAAAGGGGCAGCCGCCCCTAAAAG